GGGAGGAGGGAACGTGGGTGGAGGGGTGGAGAAAGCATAGACAAAGAGGGAAGCGGAACCAAAGAGAGGATTGTAGGGGGATGGGGAGAGGAAGGGAGGGAGGAGATAGAGGGTAGTGAGGGGAGCCGGACGAAGCCTTACTTGTGGGCATTGTACAGAGGCACATAGAAGCCGGTGTCCGTCATCCCTAGGGGCTCTGTGAGGAAGGGGAGGAAAGAGTCAAGGCAAGACATGCTGTGGCGATCGGCCGAGCAAGTGTCTTATTGGGACAGATGGTGGACGTGGAATCGAAGAGAGTCGAGGTACACTCGGCTAGGGTGAGGGTTAGGGGTAGGGGTAGGGTGGCTTATGCCGTGGCCCTTCCAGCGAGCCTTAAGCCCCAGGGAGTGACAGAGGGAGCGTAGACACTGGCTCCACGACAGGGAAACCAGTCTGGGAAGGATGTCGTACCGAGGAGGCGCCGCTGGAGGAATTCGTCGATGGGCAGTCCGGTGACCAGGGAAGCGATCAGGAGGAGCACGTCGGTGCTGAGGCCGTACTGCCATTTCGTGCCTGAGGGGGTAGGAAGCAGGTGAAACGGGAGAAGAAAGGCGGAAGAAAGGGAAAGCGCGACGGAAGGGAATGGAAAGGGAGGGCCGTGGTTAAGGTGATGAACAGGGTGGAGGGGAGGGGAGAGGAAAGAAGAAGGCGGGGGGAGGAGGATCATAGCGGGGAGGAAAATAGCCTTCAATGGTGATGAGAATAGAGGCTGTGACTTACCAGGCTGGCATGTGAGGGGAAGTTTGGCCACCCGCTTGATTTTGGTAGCTGTGATGAATTTGGAGGGAGAACGGTCGGCTCACTGCAGGAATCCTCTCGGCGCTTTTGCCCGTTAACCTTGCACAAACAAAACTCTCTGCTACGCTCCCGTTCATTGTGACTTTATCTTTCCCGGCTCATCTCCCTTAGTGTGGTTACACCGCCGGCTCCCTTCCCCACTTTCCCTTCCTCACATTGGTGCTGCCCCCTCCTCCCCCCCCTCCTTCCTCTTCTCCTTCCCTCCCTCCTTCCCTATCTCCTTCCCTCCCTACCTAGGTCCTCGTCCGGGTTGAGGATGTCGTTCTTGTTGTAAAGCTGATCCACATGCGTATTGTCCATGAACCCGTACGTCAGGCCGGACCTGTGTGGGAGGTAGGAAGGGAGGAAGGGGGGGAGGAAAGGAGGAAGGGGGGGAGGAAGGGAGGGAGGACGTGATGGGCGCCGAGTATTGACAGCGACGTTCGCTCTCTCTCGACGCAGCGGTGGTATACGCTCTACCTAAGTCTTGCTTAAGGTTACAGCAACTTACGTGTGGGTCAGGAGGTGCCAGATGGTTATGGGCCGCTCCAAGGCCACGTTGGTGCCGCTGTGCTCGTGGGGGGGGGGATCCGTATAAGCGTCAATCAGGCATTGCGTGCGGGATAAGGTGGGTACGAGCATGCCATGCGCATATTGAAATAACATTATATTGGGATGGGGACGGCCAGGATAAATAAAGTTGGACATAGGGACCGCTGAGGTCAGCCGCACATGCGCGTCTCCCTCCCTCCCGCCCGCCCTCCCTCCATCCTTCCTTCTGCCCCCCACGTACGTAATGGGGTCGTACACCTTCATGGTGGCGAACTCAGGGATGTACAAAGAAACGGGGTCGTTGTAACTGACGAGGCCCTGGTGGGCGGGGAACGAGGGGGCAAGGGAAAGGGAGGGAGGGAGAAAAGAGGAGATTTGGAGGCGGAATGAGGCCGGGAAAAGCGAGTGGCAAACCCCACTTATGTCTCCTTGCTGCCTGAGTTCTACGTCTCTTAATCCTTCTGCCCTTCTTCCACCCTTCTTTTATTTCTCGCGTCCCCGCTGACTTCTCTCGTGCCACGGACCTCGTCTATCAGCGTGAGAAAGGCGGCCGTGCTGATCGGCTTGGACTGAGAAAAAATCCGGAAAATCGTGTCCTGGGAGGGCAATACAGTAGAGATCCATGAGTCTATTCTCAGCATGATTGCTTCTCTGTGTAGGCATGCTCACCGCTCGTATGGGTTGCTCCGTCTCCACGTTCGCGTAGCCGTACGTCTGCATCGTCACGATCTCTCCGTCTTTCATCACGGAGAAGGAGGCGCCCCCAATTTTACCTTTAGAGAAATTGGTGGTGGAAATCAATGATAACGCATTAGTGTCTTCACAAAAACATTAAAGTATGTTCAGGAACGCAGATACGTGTGTGGGGCTCAGACGTAACATCGGCCGCATGCTATTTGATGCCCTGCTCAAGCGCGACATCAGAATTTCCCTGGCATTCCCTGTCTTACACATTCTGCTCAATATATAAGTTCTCCAAAACCATACTTACTGTCTTCGACGAGCGATGCGATGCGTGTGTGGGCCTCCTCCAGATGTACACTGGACATCTCCACACTTTCAGGAGAAAAGGCAACAGGAAAGGGGAGGGAATTGCCGCTGTCCAGCCATGCTTTAGCTGCCGTGGTTGCGCCTTGCCAGATACCCTCCAAGTCTCCCTGAGCACGCGCAATTGTCGGGATCAGCAGGTGTAGTAAGCAAAGAAAATTGCGTCGGGCCATGGCTTCTGCAAAAAAGAAGATAAATTCGGAAAAAATAAGCCTAAATCAGCACAATTAATGATAAATGCTAAAGGATGCACCGTTAAACAAATTGAAAGCCCAGCATTATTTGGAAAATAACGCGAGTCCCTCTTCATGTGAGCCCAGACTCGGGGAGAAGGGTAGAGCGGCATCGTCCGATACGGGGTAAGCTCCTCCAGCATCGTAGGCATGCTCATTTAATAACTGCAGAATTGACATCAATGATCGGGTCTCCATCCTTAAGCGTAATCTAAGTCATTCTAGCTCTGGAAACGCTTAAGAGAAAGGTTAAGGCACTCGGGAAAAAGGGATGCCTTTTGTCGTCGAACGGCGGCAGTTGAACCGCTGGCGACTTGAATAAACCGTTTTTCAATTTTTTGAATTCGTTTGACTTGACGACTGCACGTTCTCGTTACACATTCAACTGCACATAAGGAATGGCTTTGTCGGCCCATTGGTGTACAAAAAATATGTTGCGCTTGTGGCATGTGCGAAGAGCGCATGTGGTGGTCGCGCAGCGATGGAGTCAAGGTGAGGCTACAAAGGGATAAATCCCCCGAGGAGGTTTGTAATGGCCGCGAACCTGGGTCGGATTTTCATTTGCATAATTTGATCCATATCACATGTTTTATTTGACCTACGTGAAGGTAGCAGTCTTGAAGAAGCGCACAATTACATCGTGTCAATCTACTTTGTATTGATTTATTGCATATGATGGTCCTCATCTACCCTTCTGTTTCTTCTTTTTCTTCTTGCTCCTCTTGTCCTTTCGCGCAGATGACAAGCTGGAAGGGGATATAGAACGGTGACTTTTTGTTTGCTGGCCATCTTCTTCAAGGAATCGGTCGGATGATGATCTTACTGAAGGTAGCGTTTCCTCACACCCATGTTCTCTCATCGAGTATTCCATCTCCAATGCGTCCAGCCGCTTTCTTCCCCGCAACTCCCGCCATATAAGCGCCCGAAGCCGCTTAAAGGCCTCCAATTCGGCTGCAGCTTTCTGAGAATTAGATCGTTGAATTTAATGGCAAATGAAATAGGGTGAAAGGGACTTGAAAGTCTTTCTGTGTCTTTATACTCGACAATCACATGTATTTATTGAAACATAGGGTCAAAGATATACGCACCACTTCTTCTTCCTTTTTTGCTTCTGCATCCTGCTCAGCTGCGCTTTTTTTTTTCCTTTTTTCTTTTGTCATATCTTTTATTCGCACTTTCTCGTGCTGTACAACTGCCTGACGCATTACGTTTTTGTGCTGATACCTATGGACAGAGAATAAAGATAGAAGGTACGTGTATAATATGTCAAAAGTCAGATCTCATAGATTAATGAGCGAAACTGAATTGATTTCACGCCTGTCTCACGAGTCTCGATGCATATACTTCCGGAGACTGTGCTCTTTCGTGCCCTCATACAAAATCCCATTCCTCTTGGCTACTTCACACGTACCCCACACCAATCTCATGATTTTCCCATACCCTGCGATCTACGATGGATGTATTCCTAATGCGATCACGCAGGGGAAAGCTGATGAGTAAAATGATGTTATGATTCAGCTTGTTTCCGATGCCTTATCTTGAATATAGTCCAGACATATGTATTCCAATTGTAAAAATACTTTATCCTTGTAACCCTCATTCTTTTCAAGCGGCACTTACCTTTCCTTGAGCTCTTTGTCCCTTTGTCGCTCCTCCCGCATCAAGGCCATTTCCAACTCCAAGCCTGCAGGGATTGCCTGGATATAGACAAACTGCTTACGCATTCTATATATTAGGATCTCTGGACCTATGCACTTCCTTACCTTTTGTCTGAAAAAGGCATTGCCCGTCTCCTCCTCCTCATCTCCTCCTTCCTCTTGTCCCTCGTCGCCCGCAAAGCGCCCGTGCCGTGACGCCCGAGCGAAAGCCTCGACAGTGCCTGGAAGCATGTCCATATTTGCATCCTCCATGTTTCTTGCTGTCGGTGTGAAGTGAACGGGAACAAAACGTGAAAAGAAATACCAATTTAGCTAGGGGAAACAAAACAGTGCCCCATCTCGAGGGGGGAGGTTAATTTTTCGAAGATGTTTCCAGAGCCCTGCCTTAGCCACGCGATGTGAGCCATTCTTTCTAGCATTATGGCGTGATGGGGGATAGGTTTGACATGAACTTTGCTCTCAGGGTATATAGACGGCGCGACAGGTGTGAGTGGGACAACATGTTTTTGCTGGTGTGCACATTCTTCTGTCTCGATTACCTCTTCCCGCTACAGCGGGTTCCCAGACCTTGGAGACTTGGCAGGTAATGATATTTTATTTTTTCCCTGATCATAGCTAAGAGAGAAGTCCTCTTTCGTCACTCGTAGAATGAAGCTTTTTTGGTCAGCTAGTCTTTCTCGTACTTCAAGTGGCAACAACTAGTACAAGAAACAGGAGGACAGACTCGTCTCTCTGGGCACTGCACTGGAATGGGAATAAAAGTGTTCAGGTGTATTTTAAAGAATTGGGGAAAACGCTTGCGTCGGTACGCATAGCCTGGTTTCATTCAAGTGGACGTTTCGGGGAGTATAGACAGTGATCGGGTGCAAAGACTCAGCCTGTTCTCTCCAAACAAGAAAGACAACGCGAAGCAGTACGGAAGCGCGATCATTTGAGCCGACAGTTGCCATTCCTTTCCTTACAAAAATTAAAGTTGCACATGTTGGCACCGAATGCTCACTTCAGAAAGTCTAGGGTCCAACAGGCCTCCAATTCGGGCCCTGTCTCCCCTTCGGCCCTCATCCCCACCTGACCGTCATTCCACACACCTACCTCCTTCTCCTTCGCCCCCATTCCCACGACGGCGAAGAGCTTGGAGGGAAGTTCTCCATTCTCGCCGTCCCTTGCTAAAAGCTGGGCTCGAAACAAAGCTACCGTTGCTTTCGCCCCCGCCTTGTCGGCAGTCATCAGTGTCATCCGTCCAGTCCCCATCTCTCCCTCGCGTGCACGGACCGCACAGATATATTTACCCCCCCATTTAAGCACAAAATGGGAATCACCGCCCCCCATTGCCTCGATCTCCCATTGCCCTACGTTGTAAGAGTGATGAGAAGGGAAGGCGTGGGGATGGGGTGGGAGGGAAGCGGATCGATCGAGCACAGGAGCGGGAGCAGGAGGCGAGAGCACGGGCACACATCGCAGCGTCCCAACGAAAATGCACAGGAGACAGGATGCTTTCCGAAGGAAGCTTCAATGCGCCTGTCCCTATCCCTTCTGCCCTCCAAGCGCTTTTCCCCTCCCCCCCCCCTCCTACCTGGATCTACGAGGGTCTCGCACTCTCCCATGCCCGCCTTCACCTCCCCCGCCTGCAACACGACCACCGGGCACCACACATGCGCCTCTTTCCCTCTCTCTTCATTCCCCCAACGCCTTTGCGTCTTGACCAGGAGGGAGACGTCGGGATAGGCG